CACGCACCCGTGTTTTTTTTTTTTTTTTTTTGTTTTTTTTATAGGCTTTTTTTGGGCGTGCTTTGTGTGTGGGCAAGGATACAGGGGCCCCATGATCCCCTATTGCCCGGGGGCCCCATGAGTTGTCAGTCCACCCCTGGTTGGGAGCCAGTTGAAACACAATTTGTGGGGTTTTTTTTTTTTTTTTTCCAGGCGTGACCGCTTCCTATCCTTAGTACATTCTGTTCCCTGACTCCTATGACTTGTCTAGCACTGTACAGTAAGGCACAAGCTGGTAGGTAAACAGATCCCCCCGCCTGCCTATACTCAGTCCCACCGGCTTCCATCTTCATCCCTTCCCGCCATGTTTATCATTTTCTTCATATTTTGTTTTTCTTTCAGAACGATGCAGGGAGTTGCTCCCGTCTTATTAACTTGCAGCCTGCATACTTCTCATCTTTTGTTCTTTGTTAAATGTGAGCTGGCATCTGTTAGGCTGCGTTAGCATTCAGTCTCGGGGAATTCAGCGCTTTCTATATTCGGCTCTGCGAAGCCGGTGCCCTGTTTGCTTGAATCAATTGGGGCTGCTATTTTTAGCAACAAAGGGGAATTGAAATAGCAATTTTCTTTCTATGTAATGGATCCCCAAGAGGAATACTGATGTAAGTTTTCTGTCATCCCTCTTATGCACGCCCCCACCCCCCCCCCCCCCCCCCCTTCGTCTTCCCAAAAGAACTGATAGGAGAGGCATCTGTCACGAGTCTGCAGCAGTATTAATCTTTAATCAATCGAGTGTTTGCTCTATTCAGGTGTTTGGGAAGGAAAGAGGGGGGGGTCACAAAATGGGACTTGCTTTGAATTGTCAAGCGTTTCGTGCTTGAGCCGGGCTTTCAGATTTCAGTGGATGAAGGAAGAGACAGGGCAGCTAAAAATACCCCCTTTTGCTTGCAGTGTTTTTCTAGTCTATTTTTGATGTTTGATTTAGATAAGGTTGATTGGGTAGCTGCTAAAAATAACTGTTCCCAGAAAGTTGAGGACAAAGAGTGGAGGATATTTTTAACCCACGCTGCCTGGTATTGCCGCTCTAGACGACGAGTGATCAGCTAGAAGGTGGTCTCGTCTTCGGAGTCTTGGCGAATGTGGAAAATAGCTGAAACTTTGACATGTTGAGGCCCATGCTTGTAATTTTACATTTTTTTTTTTTTTCTTTTTTCTTTTCATAGTTATGACTAACCTTGGGAAACTGTTTTCCTAGAACAGAAATTGTATACCACAATAGTAGCGGCACCAGCTATACTGACGCTGAAACTGTACATATCCCATCAAGAAGGTGGTGTCCAAGACCAGGCCTTGTCAGTTGTATGTTTTTTGTTTGAAATGGGGGGAAAAAAAATAAAGATCTTGTGAAAAGGATTGATGTCCTGTAATAACAAATGGGCAACCAGTCTGCAGTCAGTAAGGGCTCGTAAACACTTATGCTGGTCTCTAAAGAGCAACTCACATTTGGATTGCTCTTTAGCGCCCATTTGACAGGTGGTGAGGAGGTTTTGGATTACCTCTTCACCACCTGCTTTACCTCTTTGAACCCCATAACGTGCTGCAACCACATTTGGGTGTACACTTTAGTACGATCATTTTAAATATATAGATTAAGCACACCACCGAACAAAAATGCTTTAGCAATAAAGTTGTATTGGGCTTATACAGTTGTGTTCACAATAATAGCAGTGTGTTGAAAAAAGTGAATAAAGCTGAAAATCCTTCTAATGGCTTTTATTTCCATCCACACAAATGCATTGGGAACACGACACATTCTATTCCAAATCAAAACATGAAGAAAAATACATCAAATTTGTGTTGTTCCTCTAAAAAAAATTTATTTTTTTTTTTTTTTTTGAACCGTCTAATATTCACTTTTCTTCAGTGCTTGTATTCTTTACAAACTCAAACATTCACTATATAAACTGAGAAACGTTTGAAGATTTTGCTTTCCTTTGAATGACTTCATGAATATTTGGTTGTAGTCGCACTGTTTCTGAGAACTGCTGTACATCTGTGTTGCATGGAGTCACCCAACTTCTGGCCCCTGTGATCAGGTATTCCAGCGCAGGATGATTGGACTACATTCCACAGTTCTTCTCTATTTCTTGGTTTTGCCTCAGAAACTGCATTTTTGATGTCACCCCACAAGTTTTCTATTGGATTAAGATCCGGGGATTGGGCTGGCCACTCCATAACGTCCATCTTGTTGGTCTGGAACCAAGATGTTGCACATTTACTGGTGTGTTTGGGGTCGTTGTCTTGTTGGAACACCCATTTCAAGGGCATTTCCTCTTCAGCATAAGGCAGCATGACCTCTTCAAGTATTCTGATGTATTCAAACTGATCCATGATCCCTGGTATGCGATAAATAGGCCCAACACCGTAGTATGAGAAACATCCCCATATCATGATGCTTGCACCACCATGCTTCACAGTCTTCACAGTGTACTGTGGCTTGAATTCAGTGTTTGGGGGTCGTCTGACAAACTGTCTCCGCCCACTAGACCCAAAAAGAACAATCTTACTTTCATCAGTCCACAAAATGTTGCCCCATTTCTCTTTAGGCCGGTCAATGTGCTCTTTGGCAGATTGTAACCTCTCAGCACGTCTTTTCTCCAACAGTGGGACTTTGCGGGGGCTTCTTGCAGATAGCTTGGCTTCACATAGGCGTCTTCTAATTGTAACAGTCCTCACAGGGAACGTCACACCTTCTTTCATCTTCCTGGAGCTGATTGTTGGCTGAGTCCTTGCCATTTTGGCTATTCTTCTATCCATTCCAATGGTAGTTTTTCGCTTTCTTCTACGTCTTTCAGGTTTTGGTTGCCATTTTAAAGCATTTGCGATCATTTTAGCTGAGCAGCCGATCCTTTTCTGCACTTCTTTATATGTTTTCTCCTTTCCAATCAACTTTTTAATCAAGGTACGCTGTTCTTCTGAACAATGTCTGGAACGACCCATTTTCCTCAGAATTTCAGAGAGAAATGCACTGTAACCAGCATGTCCAACATTTGCTGCCTTCCTTCCTTAAATAAGGGCAATAATTGCCACCTGTTTTTCAAAGAATGAATGACCTCACTAATAGAACTCTACACGGCTATTATTTTGAACACGCCCCTTTCAATGAGTGATTCAATGACACAGAATCAGCAGCATGCATGTCATGACTGTTGGGTCTGTTGGGTTTCTATTACTCTACTACACCTGTTAGGAAATTATTTGCCATGTAGAAATATCATTTCTACCAAAAACAGTGATTGATCCGGTTAGTGATGTCTGACTGCTATTATTTTGAACACAACTGTACATACTATTATACTAATAGGTACAAATATTGAAGTATGTCATATCACATCACGCATAATACAGCATAGGTATTCCCTGATAAGGGAGTACCACCGGTCCTCCTGTACAGGGCCCAGTCCCCATCGGTTTAGTAGGGGATGCCAGGGCAGCATGAGGAATTGGATCATGGACAGGAGGCAGTGACCAAGGCAGTAGGGGGATTACAAGAACTGAGCCCCTGTATGGCTTTCCCTGCAGCAGCCGAAGGCTGGCTTCATCTCATGGGGCAGCACAGTGGCTGAATGGTTAGCACTTCCGCCTGGCAGTACTCGCGTCGCTGGTTCAAATCCCAGCCACAGCACCTCCTGCCTGGAGTTTGCAGGTTCTCCCTGTGCCTGCGTGGGTTTCCTCCGGGTACTCCCGTTTCCTTCCACACTCCAAAGACATGCTGGTAGGTTAATTGGCTCCTGTCTAAATTGTCCCTAGTATGTGTATGTATGAATGTGAGTTAGGGACCTTAGATTGTACGCCCCTTGAGGGTCAGGGACTGATGTGAATGTACAATATATATGTAAAGTGCGGCGTAAATTGATGGCGCTATATAAGTACCCGAAATAAATAAATCTCCTCTCCCTCTCACTTCCTGTTAGCTGCTGCAGGGAGAAAAACTACAGGGCATCTCTTCTAGTAAATGCTCATGGACAGGAGGCGGTAACCAGGGGGGGGGGGGGGGGGGGGATTTCGGGAACTGAACCCCTGTATGGCTCTTCCTGCAGCTGAAGACTGACTTCATCTCTCCCTCTCACTACTTTTTTAGCTGCTGCAGGGGGAAACTACAGGGATCTCTTCTAGTAAATTTCCCCACCCGCATCACTGGTCATCTCTCCTTAATAGTCTCCTTCCCCCTGCTGCTGGGCCCCCCGGTGTGCCTTTTCAGGGCTTCTTCGCCTCTCCCTCCTGCCTTCCTGCTGATTGCTGTAGGGTATGGGGATTGCTGCAGGATGGAGAAGCGGGTAAGGTAGGCTGTACAGGGCCCCATGATTTCTAACAGCAGCCCTGGGCACATTGAGCAACATATAGCAGATGGTAAATTACGTAGGAGGTTCTTGAGAGAGGGGGTTTTTACATCCCCGAAACGTTTTGTTTTTTCTCTTTCTCTCTCTTCACCAGGGTCTGGCTCCGCTATCCTTTTCATTACTGTATTCTGTGCACTGAAATCCTGTATGTATTTCAGTCTCGGTTCTTTTTTATCAGATCAGTTTTATTTTTATTTACAGTATGTTTTCTGTATCTATCTAGTTCTACCCTGATGAATTGTATGCACTAAAGCCCCTGAAATGTGTTGGCAGTAAAAACCCTTTTTGTGCCTTTAGGCTGCCTCCCCAGGATCAGCCTACCCAAACCACAAGGTTCATGTTACAGTGTGGCTTTCGGAGCCCCTGACCCATTTATTCAACAAACCTGTTTTGTGTTTTCTCACCTGTCACACATCTACAAGTTGCCTTTTTACAGACAATACACAGTCATGGACTAATGTCATCCGCACACCAGAGAAATCCCATGCAGCCATTTCTGGTTTGCTGGGGTGTACTTTAGATAAGCCCATTGATGTCTCTGACATGCCAGTGAATGTTAATAAATGCTGTATGTTGATGTTAATGAGCTTTATCTCACCTTTCTCTGTTCTTTCTTTCCCTGCAGTTGTAACTGGAGCTACAGATGGAATTGGAAAGGCATATGCAGAAGAGGTGAGAATTGGGGTTTTGCTACAACACACAGGTCAACAAACTTTTCAGAAGACCAGTTTATTGTTTTTCAGACTAGGGGGGCTGGATTGTGGCCAGTGGGGGTAGAAAATGTCCTCAGGCCCAGCATTCATGAGAATAAATATGGCCTCAGGGTTTGTTCAGTAGCGGGAGCAATAGTGCCCCATCACTGGGGTCAGTGGGAGGCATAGCGCCCCATCACTGGTGTCAGTGGGAGGCATAGCGCCCCATCAGTGGGAGGCATAGCGCCCCATCAGTGTGAGGCATAGTGCCCCATCACTGGTGTCAGTGGGAGGCATGGTGCCCCATCACTGGTGTCAGTGGGAGGCATGGTGCCCCATCACTGGTGTCAGTGGGAGGCATGGTGCCCCATCACTGGTGTCAGTGGGAGGCATGGTGCCCCATCACTGGTGTCAGTGGGAGGCATGGTGCCCCATCACTGGTGTCAGTGGGAGGCATGGCGCCCCATCACTGGTGTCAGTGGGAGGCATGGCGCCCCATCACTGGTGTCAGTGGGAGGCATGGCGCCCCCCCATCACTGGTGTCAGTGGGAGGCATGGCGCCCCATCACTGGTGGGAGGCATAGCGCCCCATGATTGGTGTCAGTGGGAGGCATAGCGCCCCATCACTGGTGTCAGTGGGAGGCATAGTGCCCCATTATTGGTGTTAATGAAGAGGATTCCATGATTACTTTTGGTTTTGTAGACTTTTTCATTTCTATAACTGACTAAATTATTCTGGTATTTTTCTGCAGCTGGCGAGGCATGGCATTTCCATCGTTCTTATCAGTAGATCGCAGGATAAGCTTGATATGGTGTCCAAAAATATCCGTGAGTCTGGTTCCCCTTTTATTTTTGACTCATTTCAGCTGTTATTTTTTTTTCAGTATGCTTTTAAAAATGGAAGAGAAAAATCTTGTGGCTAATGACAACACGTCAATACTAGCTTTCCAAGACAGGTGACCATTTGGGGTATGATAAGTGACATCAAAACAAATGCCTGTACCTGGTGCATTGTGAGCTTCTCAAAATGTGCATTAGAAGCTACAGCAAATCAGATCGTCTACCTCATATCCTGAATGGAGGGTGTCCAATCATCCTCTAGCCCTTTCCTGTCCAGCCTAACTATCCCTGACCCACCTCTTTTATTAATTGGATGTCAGTTCTTTCAATTATGGAGGTTCACCATCGTATGTGGGTGATCCTTAGGGTGGTCTGCATGTAGATGTATTGTGCCATGGGTCAACAACTTCTCCAGGCTGATATCCACCTAATGAACTCCTTTTGAGACTTGCATAACTCCTCCCAAGAGCCATCCTACTGCTTGCATCAGGGCTGATGGCTGTAGAGCAGAGTACTGAGGCAGGGCGATGTGATGTTTTCAGAAACCTGTTGGCCCCTCCCATCAGCCACCAGAAGCAAAGACCTGGGTCTAAAATCCATTGTGTAATGAAAATATGTTTTATTTAAAAATGTAATTTGCATGTTCATGAGGGGGAAGGGAGAAAACAGGGGTAGCAAAATATATACGTAAATTAAAATTCAACTTTAGTGGTTTTAAAGGCAGAAGAGATTTTCCTTAATGCATTCTCCTGCGTTGAAGCAAAAAAAAAAAATTAATTGTGCAGCTTCCTCCTTACCCGAACCTCGATTCAGCACTGTGCCTGAGAGCAGTGGCATTCTCTGCTCTCTCTCCTCACTGGACAGGGAGACAGTAGCCAGAGCCATTGGCTTCTGCTGCTGTCAATTGCAGCCAGTGAACATAGCGCAGGGGATGGGGCCTGCGTTCTGTGTTCAAATGGACACTCACAGTGCAGTTCTGAATCAAACCCGCAGGAGTGCCTGCTTGCTATGAGGGTACTCAGCAGGGTGGAGGAGCCTGGAACGCCAGAAGGGGATCCGACAAGAGGAGGATCTGGGCTGCTCTGTGCAAAACTTCTACACACAGCAGGTAACTATGACACTGTATTTTTTTTTTTTTTTAATCTAGATATACAATTGCTTCAAAGCTAAACTCTGGGCAGAAGAAAATGACCCTTGCACCACCCCCCTTACAAGGGTTAAATGCTTGTCTTGTTTAGGAGATGATTGGTTAAGTAAATTACTAATCTTATTTCTCATACTTCCCCAGCAGTTGGCACTCCACCATTCTGACGTTCCTGGGATTTGGGCAGGTCCTCTTGTGTCCTCAGGTAAAGTGCAGGGCTTCAGGTCCTGCATTGTTCCCATTGAGGCTGCAGGTCCTGCATTGTTTCCCGTTGAGGCTGCAGGTCCTGCACGGTTCCCGTTGAGGCTGCAGGTCCTGCACGGTTCCCGTTGAGGCTGCAGGTCCTGCACGGTTCCCGTTGAGGCTGCAGGTCCTGCACGGTTCCCGTTGAGGCTGCAGGTCCTGCACGGTTCCCGTTGAGGCTGCAGGTCCTGCATCGTTTCCGTTGAGGCTGCAGCCTGTCTGGCAGTGAAAAGGAGCAGCTTTGGGGGTGTTGCTCTTACAGAAGAGAGCCTGCAAGAGTAATTAATAAATTATTTGACCGTATTCCTGTCCCCTAGAAAAAACAAGTATAAAAGGGGCCCCACTGCAAGGATAGAGTTAAGTTTGAACCTTTGGGACCAAAACACTACACCGATGAATCAGGCGTAAAAAAGAATTGCTGTGACACATTTGCACCAAAAATAACTATTCAACAAAACACACACCCCCTGGGTACCGATGTCCAGCTTGGGAAATCCTGATTCACGTATAATTGCTGACTTGTATTTGTGAGTTTTGTCCCCCTGAAGTCCCTGTGTATAATTGTGATTGTAAGTCACTTGAAAGTTATGGAGGGGCAGGGAGAGGAAAGTCTCTCAGTGGGATGAGCAGCGATGCCGGTTTCCCCCTGGCTCTCCCATGTTTCTGTGGGTGGATGAGAAATGCCAGAGCTGCTTTTTGGAACATCTTGCAGGATCTCCTACTCTGCGCTGGCTCGGTAAGTCTGCTGTAGCCGGTACTGACCAATATCCTCTCAGCTAGTCTCTTCCAGGATCCCAGATGCTTCTCAGTGGTTGGCCCTGAGTCATATCAAGAGTAGGTCACGCACTCGTGTATCTCTCAAAAGATGAAGGAATGCTCTCATTTCCTCATACTTCTTATGTTATGTCAGACATGTATGTTTACATCTACAGTATCTGTCAGAAGTGAGTACACCCCACACATTTTTGTTTTTTTAATATTTGATTCTGTCTTTTCATGTGACAACACTGAAGAAATGACACTTTGCTACAATGTGACGTAGTCAGTGTACAGCTTGTATAACATGTAAATTTGCTGTTCCCTCAAAATAACTCAACGCACCGCCATTAATGTCTAAACCGCTGGCAACAAAAGTGAGTACACCACTAAGTGAAAATGTCCAAATTGGGGCCCAAGGTGTCCATATTTTGTGTGGCCGCCATTATTTTCCAGCACTGCCTTAACCCTCTTGGGCATGGAGTTCACCAGAGCTTCACAGGTTGTCACTGGAGTCCTCTTCCACTCCTCCATGATGATATCACGGAGCTGGTGGATGTTAGAGACCTTGAGCTCCTCTACCTTCCGTTTTGAGGATGCCCCACAGATGCTTAATAGGGTTTAGGTGTGGAGACATGCTTTGCCAGCCCATCACCTTTACCCTCAGCTTCCTTAGCAAGGCAGTGGTCGTCTTGGAGGTGTGTTTGGGGTTATGTTGGAATACTGCCTTGCGGTCCAGTCTTCGAAGGGAGGGGATCATGTTCTGCTTTAGTATGTCACGGTACATGTTGGCATTCATGGTTCCCTCAGTGAACTGTAGCTCCCCAGTGCCGGCAGCACTCATGCAGCCCCAGACCATGACACTCCCACCACCATTCTTGACCGTAGGCAAGACACTTGTGTTTGTACTCCTGGTTGTCGCCACACACGCTTGACACCATCTGAACCAAATCAGTTGATCTTGGTGTCATCAGACCACAGGACATGGTTCCAGCAATCCATGTCCTTAGTCTGCTTGTCTTCAGCAAACTGTTTGTGGGCTTTCTTGTGTATCATCTTTAGAAGAGGCTTCCTTCTGGGACGACAGCCATGCAGGCCAATTTGATGCAGTGTGCGGCGTATGGTCTGAGCACGGACAGGTTGACCCCCTGCCCCTTCAACCTCTGCAGCAATGCTGGCAGCACTCATATGTCTATTTCACAAAGATAACCTCTGGATATGACGCTGAGCACGTGTACTCAACTTCTTTGGTCAACCATGGCGAGGCCTGTTCTGAGTAGAACCTGTCCTGTTATACCACTGTATGGTCTTGGCCACCGTGCTGCAGCTCAGTTTCAGGGTCTTGGCAATCTTCTTATAGCCTAGGCCATCTTTATGTAGAGCAACAATTCTTTTTTTCAGATCCTCAGAGTTCTTTGCTATGAGGTGCTATGCTGAACTTTCAGTGACCAGTATGAGAGCGTGAGAGCGATAACACCATATTTTACACACCTGCTCCCCATTCACACCTGAACTTGTAACACTAACGAGTCACATGACCCCAGGGAGGGAAAATGGCTAATTGGGCCCAATCTGCACCTTGCCACTTAGAGGTGGACTCATTTTTGTTGCCAGCGGTTTAGACATTAATGGCTGTGTTGAGTTATTTTGAGGGGACCGCAAATTTATATGTTATACAAGCTGTACACTCACTACGTCACATTGTAGCAAAGTGTCATTTCTTCAGTGTTGTCACATGAAAAGATAGAATCAAATATTTACAAAAATGTGAGGGGTGGACTCACTTCTGGGAGATACTGTGTGTGTAATAACCGTAGACTAAAAAGCTGACATTTATCTTGTTTTATTTTGTCTCCACTCCCCGGCCCCACCATCATTCTACTCAAACATTTAAATAAAGCCTTTATGTTTTCATTACATAGTATATTTAATGTGATGTCATCATTGGGTCTCTGTGCTTCTCTCTGCTATTCAAGCAGCTCGTGGCTAGTGGGAGAGGTTGGCAGGGTGCTGTACATAGCTTCCTGAAAACACCACAGCACCCTGCCTCAGTACTCCTCTCAAGAGCTCTCAACCCTGATGCAAAAAATGTGCTGGCTCTTAGGAGTTATGCAAATATTAAAATGCCTTGATGGGTGGGTGTCATTCTAGAGGAGTGGGCATTCCTAGGGAGATTGAATTTGCATGCAGACCACTCTAAATAACACCCATATGTGATGCAAAGCTTTCATGATTGAAAGAACTTAAATCCAGAAAATTAAAGGGGAAGACGATGGACAGTAAAGCTTGGGAGGAAATAGCTAGATCAGGGGTAGGCCACTTTTTAGCGGTAGATGTCTGCCTGAACAACATGAAGGATCAAAAATCACCGGGGTTTAGGAAATTAACAAGCAAGGCCTAACTAAATAGGAGAACAATGTGTGTACGGTGTCAGTCAGTAGGGCGGTGGACAGTGTCCGTCATTAGGGCAGAGGTTAGCGTCACTAGTTCATTTTATTTAATTTTTTAATTTTATATTCCATTTTTTATTTTTTACAATTTTCTTTGCAGGGGGGTTGGGGGGGCGTGGGGCCGTAGAGGGGTTGGTGAAATATCAGGGGTCGGCGTAGTGTTACCAATTGTTTTCTTGGTGACTGTGGTCCCAGCTGCCTGGAGATCATTGACAAGATCCTCACGTGTAGTTCTGGGATGATTCCTCACTGTTCTCATGATCATTGACACTCCACGAGGTGAGATCTTGCATGGTGCACCAGACCTAGGGAGACTGACACTTGTTTTGTGTTCCTTCCATTTGTGAATGATTGCACCAACTGTTGTCACCTTCTCACCAAGCTGCTTGGCAAAA